GCCCGTAGAGCGCGCAGGGCCCGTAAAGGCCCGTAGAGGGCCCGTAGAGGCCCGCAGAGGGCCCGGGCCGGATATGGTACTCTTCTCCACTTCTCAAAGTCGGCGAGCTTTGTGCAGTGTCGCTCATCAGCATGTTGACAAGAAAAACGAAGTTGTGGTCCTGGGGTTCGGTGTGGCTCTCTGCTCTGCAAAGGCATGAGGTTTAACAATGTGGTTGAGAGGTTGTTGCAACATCCTCCTCACAATGTCACAAGGAGTAAGTAGTCAGTAAAGTACAATATAACATCATTTAAGAGTATATATATATATATAGTCAAGTACAATATAACATAATTTAAGATAATATATATATATATATATATAAATACTCGTAATATCAAATACCTAAGTAGTCAGGTACATGACCTTTGCCGGCATGGTGGGGCACTCGGCACAGTGCACTGGAGCGCCTGGGAGGGCGGCAAAACATTTTGTAATCATCATTCCTTCAGCAGCAGAAGAGGGGGGGATTAGGGATTAGGGTTTAGGGATTAGGGATTAGGGTTTAGGGTTTAGGGTTTAGGGGGCAGCCGAGTGTGGATAAGAGTGTTAGAAGGTCAGCCAGATGATCTTAGCCCAGTAGCTGGAGTTTCCTTCAGTTGTGCTCCAAGCTGGCTTCGGATGTTGTGCTTCGGGGTGCTGGCGTCATCATGGGCGGGCAGGCTACCTCCATTAAGCCCAGGTGCGCGGATCGCAGCAGATGCTGGCTGAAGCTCTGCCAGGACCATGAGGGGACACTATTGCCAACTATTCTTGCAAACTATTTAGTACACTTTTTCTATCGTCATTGCCAGTAGTATTTTGACTGTAATTGTTGTCACCACTGTTATCATCGTTGTTGATTATGAGTATTTCCATTATTATTAGTATTATCAAGACGTGCATTAGTTGCTCGCTTCCTGACATTACCATGACCTTTATTGCTATTAGGATCATCATTCTTCTTCGTCTTCTTATCACCCTTATACTACTATCAGCATGTCTAGTTCCTATTCATGTTATTGCTAGGACTACTGCTATTAGTACTACTAGTACAACTATCATTATTACTATTGCTGTTATTGTTGTCAGGGTTGTGATTATTGCTATTGTTTTCGTGCTTGCTATTGTTCTCATTCTTGTTATTATTATGGTTATGAAGAAGAAGATGATGGTTATTACCTTTTCTTCTGATTATTGTTATTTGTTCTGCTTGTTATTGCCATCATAGTCAATATCATTATCAGGGTTTCTAGCTTTTGTCATTTGCGCTAATATTGCCAGTATCCATTATTAATGTTCTATTGTTATTGCTATTGTGATGATTGTTGTTCTGATTGTGAGGATGACGGTGGTTACTGTACTATCAGTATTATTGTCATTAGTTCTGTGTGTTGTGATTGTTATTCTTATTCTTGTTATGATTGTTATTTTTCGTGCTAGTCGTATTGTGAGAAGTATTATTCGTATGATTAGTATGGTGGTCATGATGGTTGTTACCATGACTATTCTCATGCATCTTGGAGGCAACTATGTCCGTGGACGTTGGCTGCAGACGATTGATGCTTCGGCGCGGAAGGAGGCATGCTTCTTGCGTTGTTCCAGGGTTCTCAGTGTCCTCTTGCTGCCTTGCTTTGATGTGACGACGAGAGATTTTGGAACCTATGCACAACAGAAGCTTCAAAGCCGCAAGCTTTTGTGGCAACTCTAGGCGGGACGTGTTTCGATTTTGACTCGGTTTCGTAGTGAGCGCCTTGGACCAGGCTGGCAAGGCAAGGCACAATGCGTGGGCCCATCTCCGAGGCTAGGAGCAACAGATGCTGAGCGAGGGAGTTTCTGAAGAGAGGTGGTTTCTTTGTTCGCTGAAGTATGACGGCATGCGGCTTTGACTTTCTGACTGGCATGTCCGCCGCCGCAAGTCAGGTCGTCTGATAGACCTGCTAGCGCTTTGAAGACAAGATTTCTGAGCGCACGTTTAGCTGTCCTTAAGCGTCCCAATTTCAACAGGCTGCCATGGCAACTGTCGCTTCCCAGCTGCAGGTGTGCACCAAAAACACCTTCCTGCACTGCGAGGA